TACGGGCCAAAAACCCTATAGGTGCCCCGAATGCGGCGACCGCTTTAACCAAAATTCGGCGTTAGCGGCTCATGGGCGGATCCATACGGGCCAAAAACCCTATAGGTGCCCCGAATGCGGCGACCCCTTTTACCAAAATTCGGCGTTAGCGGCTCATGGGCGGATCCATACGGGCCAAAAACCCTATAGGTGCCCCGAATGCGGCGACCGCTTTAACCAAAATTCGGCATTAGCGGCTCATGGGCGGATCCATACGGGCCAAAAACCCTATAGGTGCCCCGAACGCGGGAAAGATTTCAGTCACGGCTCGACGTTGGTTAAACATCGTAGAATACATACGGGGGAAAAACCTTACGTTTGCGAAGAACGCGGGAAAATTTTAGTATCCGTTCGACCCATATCCGACATCGGAAAACCCATACGGGTGAACGTATGTTCTATACGTATAGATGTCCCGACTGCGGGAAGAGCTTTAGCGATAGTTCTTATTTCGTTCAACATCAACGCCTTCATATAGGCGACACACCCTACGTGTGTCGCGATTGCGGGAAGCGTTTTATATGGAGCTCGGCTTTGATCCGTCATCGACGAATCCATACGGGCGAGAAACCCTATACGTGTCCGGATTGCGGGAAGAGTTTTAGCGAGAATTCGACGTTGATACGTCGTCGACATTGTTACGTCATCGACGTTGTTACGTCATCGACGGATCCATACGGGCGAAAAATTCTATAAGTGCACCCAATGCGGGAAGAGTTTCAACGACAGCTCTTCGTTGACGCGTCATCACCGCGTCCATACGGGCGAACGACCCTACGCGTGTCCCGACTGCGGGAAGAGCTTTATGGAGAGCTCTACGCTCATCGCCCATCATCGTATCCATACGGGAGAGAAACCCTATACGTGTCCGGATTGCGGGAAGAGCTTCAGTCAAAGCTCCAACTTGGGGACCCGTCAACGGATCCATACGGGGAACGACCCTATAGCTGCGTCCAGCGCGGGAAGAGTTTTTACCGGCGTTCCGATCTCATCCGTCATCGCCGCAGCCACCTCGGGAATCGCCGCAAATGAACGGGGAAGGTCAAGGTCATCCCCTTTTCCACCCCCCGCGTCATCGATGACGCTTCCTCCGCCTCCTCACGCGCCGCCAAACGGCGGCAACCGCGTTTTCGTCCCGTTTGCGCTTTACAATCCTTTTTATTTTACCAAATATATTATTTTACCAAATAT